GTAGCTAACCTTAATTACTTACTAATCTTAAATCAAATAACATGATTAATCTTAGCTATCACTAAACCATAATTAATCAAGGTAATTAATCCTAATCTTCCTCAAATAAATAATTAACTAAAAATAATTAACACTTAGGGAGGTAAACGTACCTTAATTAGTTCTTATCGGCGATTAGAGGTGTCTAACCTTGCTTTCTCCCTTTCTCTCTCTTCTTTCTTCCTTTCTCTCTCCTAGAACTCAAGAACACAACATTCCCTCTCATGCAAACCACTTTGGCCGAATTCTTCATGGAAGGGGGTATTTATAGGCTTTAACATTTCAAAATTTCAAAAATGCCCTTCGGGAAAAAGATGCGATCTCGACCGTCCATTTTTTTCTACTTTACACATGGACAAATCTTAGGGCACACACCATAAGAAGTTGACACATGGATGGACACCTAATCACCATGTGATTTTCACGTGGAAATAAAATATTATTTTATTGTTTTGTCTCTTATTTCCCTTTATGCCCTTGAACAATTTGGAAAATTCCAACTTTGTCCTCCCCCTTTATTTTTGGCCGAAATATTACTCTTAATATTGGAAAAAAAATGAATCATCCAATTATCAGTGCAATCCATTGATTATTTGTGTATTTCCGATTCGATTTTCCAACAATCCTGTCCAATTTACTGTCACAAAATTTTGATTTCAACACCTCATTAAATTCCCCTCATTCCAAGGGTAATCCATGATTTTTCTCAAGTTTTACCTCCCTCTATAATTTTCTAAATTTTATTCTGTCAAAAATCACTATTCTACCGATAATAATTCAGTAATAAATATTCTTTAAGCTAACCTTTGTACATCCAAAGGTGGGAAGTAATTTTATAAATTAGGATAATATGTCACATAATTTATCCCTATTTTTCCTTGAATTTTTGAGGCTTCTATATATTTTAAATAATGGAAATTGGCTAATTTTCCTCAATTAACCAAAAATTCCAATAATTACAAATAATCCCCTGATAAATTATTTTTAATCTTATATTCATCTTCTAAGCCTCAAACATTATTCTGTACCCTCCTTTCTATTTTTCATGATTTTCTGAGAATTTTCAGGAATTTCGGACATTATTTCCAATATTGCCCTTTCTTGACCGATCTTTTCAAAAATGACCGTTATGTCCCTATCCTGATTTTTCCTCATAGCCTGGATCCTCTACCAGTCTACTATACTATTTGGCCTTAGTCAGTCTCAAGTCATTCATCAATTAGGATAAAATTATCAGGGTGTGACATCTGACAAAAGTCAATTCTTCACATCATAAATTCATTGTGGCTTTTTACTTGAAATAATCTTCCTCAAATCAAGTGATGAGTATATGATAATCTTAGAAACAATAAGTTGGAAAACATGGAATCAATCATCAGATATTCAGATATTCAGAAAGTAAGATGAAGTTACTTAATCGATGTCTTGATCGATAATCCTTTGATCGATCATATTATCGATTAATTATATGAAGAAAGATATAGCAGATATATGCAATTATCGAATAGATTATGGATCATATGATGATTGAACAAATGATTGATAAACGATGAAGCATGTATGCAGTGAGCTTTAAATGGATTATGTAAGGATAATCTTTTTCAAGTTACGTTTGCCTTCGTATCCTTTTAATAGAGAGTTATGTGTAAAAGGAAGGCTGCGAAAAGCTTAAAGATAAAAAGATAAAAGATTTCGAAATCATCGTGAAATGCTGTTATGAAATGAACTTGTACAATGATCGAACACTTGTTGATCGATCAGGTTATCAATAAACAAAGTGTTATAGAAATAAATTTAAAGCAATAATTTTTGAACACATTATCGATAAATAGATGATGGATAACCTTATCAATAAACAATAAGTAAAAGTATATTCAGTGAAAACACAGGCTATGTAGGTTGATCGAATAGGTGATCGATTAATGAATGATCGATCAAGTGATCGATAAAGAGGTTTAATCCTGTAAAGTTAAAGAACTGATTTATCAATCACGTTATGTGAAAAACAAGGTAGACATGTAAGTGCGATGATCGATCATATTATCGATAATCAGATTATCGATCCCGTGATCGAAGAATCATGATTTAAAAACGATGTGCTAATTATCGATCACGTGATCGATAATTTGCTGATCGATCAGGTGATTGATAAGCTATTGAAATAATTACCTACATGTAGAGAGGGTTATGAAGCAATATTTGATCATATTATTGATAAATCACTTATCGACAAAGTGATCGATAAATGGTGACTAAGGCAAAACATAAAGTGAGTAAAGCGCATTACCATTTATCTGTCTTCTTATCGATGACCTATTTATCCATAACGTTAACCTTCTTTATCAATCAAGTGATCGATAAATACATTTATCCATAACATTATTTGAAAATCATTTATCCAACAGGTTATTGATAAAACCTTAATAATGCATATGAAGATAAAAGAAAAGAATTGAAGAGATAGTACCAGGAACTCGATAAAGTGATCGAGTATGTAGTTGCTTGATCAGGCTCGAGTAATATCTAATAATGGCTTTTTATTTCCTCATTTCTTCTAGTACTTTTACTCAATAACATGTTTAAGTAGCATGTTGCTTGAGAACTTAATCAATCAGTGTAGAACTTCTGGTCTTTGCCTCAATAAATTCGAATTCTGATTCAAGCAAAACGAAGGTCAACTTTGAGTGATCATAAATCTTCCAATTCAACTCCAAATTTTACAAATGACCTATCCCCAGCAAGCTCTTTGAGTCTACCTTCTAATGCAACAAGAATCACCCCAAAATTCATTGTAGTTACAAAGTTATCTTCATCACAGTGACTGAAGACGTTAATACTTACTGTAATGTTTCAAACACTATATCTCCCTTATATGAGACTATTTGAAGTTGATTTTGGTGTCTATGAACCTTATTCTGAGTCTAGTTTCATATGAATCAAGTTTCACCTCAAACGGATTTGTGGTTTAAGAGATATAGAGAAATACCGAACCTATGTCAGAGCTGAACGAAGAACAGAGCATAACAGAGTGTGTGTTTTATTGATAACTTGATCGATAAGTGGATGATCGATCAATGCCCATGAAAATCACCTCTGAAGCTTATTTTCCATGTTTATATGAAGGGTGACTCAATATATGATTATATTACTTCCGGTTTGTGCATTTTAGCTTCCAATTGAGTCATTCAAACTTCTGATTGAGCATAGCAAGCTTTAACATCAAATCTATGAACTTGAATCTTGATATTTTCATTTGGTCTTACAAGTTCTTCTTTTCTCAATCTCTCTTCTTCTTCCTCCTCTTGATCATTCTCCACACTCAAAGTTCAACATAATAACTTCTTTCTTTTCTTGAGGAAACTACTACATAAGATATTAAGTATGATAGTTAGTCAAAATGTGAGGTAAATAATTTATGCAAACTTTTTGCTCTATTATTTGACATTATCAAAACTAATCATATCTAACAAGATGAAAGCTCTCTGTCTCCCTAGGTCATGACATGAAACTTCTGAGGTCGCGACCTGGGCCCCCTAAGTCGTGACCTAACACTTTTGAGGTCACGACCTGAGTACATTAAGTGAAGATGTGTGTTTTTGAACAGGTTTCTGAGCTTCTACACCTAGGGGCAGCACCACAAAAAAGGAAAAGTCTCCATTCTATAGATTTGCAAGGATAACAGCCTCCTCCATTCTCTCTTGAGCCTCTATTGATCTTATGCCCAAAACCTCTATTTTCCTTCATCTCTTTATCATTTTCTACATTTCTAAACCGATTAAATCACTTCAACCACCTTCTTCTCTATTTTTCCAACCTCATTTTTAGCTTTAACCATGGTTGTTTGCTCCTGGAGCGATTATGATCGATTTAAAGACATGAGAGGCTAAACCCTTAGCCTTTTGGTGATGGAGGACGAAGGTTAAGCTCAAGGATCTAATAGGGGAGTTATCGGTTTAATACTGTATTGATTTTGTTTAGAGATTTCTAGATTTAGGGATTTCTACATCTGTTTCAGATTCAATAAATTATTGTAAATCTTGTGTTTAGACTATTGAATGTATTTGGATTGGATGCTGTGAATGTTGGATCATTTATAATAAGTTTTGAATCCTTGTATTCATTTATTTATTAGTATCATTGTGATTATTCTGTGTGTTGTTTTTTATGTGTCATTGTGATTATTGTGTGCTTGGTATTCAATGATTGTCGATTGACTTTCTGAGGACATTTGCATCATCCATTCATCTACACTCTAAGTGGTTTCTCTAACAATGTTTTTAATAGATGTTAATTAACTTTGATTAAAGTAAGTTTTTATTAATTAAGACATTAGACCCAAGTGATTACTTGGGGTTTTCTGCAGACTTAGAGATTTTCTAAAACTCTCAAATCATTTTAAAAAGCAGTGATAGCTGACTTTCCATCATCAAGAGACTGTTTCATCATAATTCCCTTTTAACCCAAAACATCTCTTCGTTCAATTAAAATACCAAAAGCATTTAATCTTTTGCACTTTTTATTTATTGTACCATCTTAGACAGTTGAAACCCCTCTTTTTCTTTACCCAAATCATCATGTTTTTTATTACCAATTTAGACTAGGTTGTTTTCTAATAAAGCTCTCCTTGAGAAGAATGATTGGTTACACCCTATACTACATTATCTGGTGCAATCACTAATTCTGATGACCCTAAAGGTGACATCCCAGTCCGATCACATAGCGTATTGATGAATTGCATCCTTCCTATCTCTACTCCAATACCCAATATTGGTTCTTAGAGGTGAGGATGGTTATTGTGACGATATAGAACACCGTGAAGAGACTCTTTCTAATACTAAGAAGAAAAATGAGTTAGTATTAGAGAGTATTTTGCATATAGGTTGATGATAAGGGAAAATGAGATGTTAGCCATACTTCATGCAGAGAAGTTATTCCAACAATTCATAGTTGATGGTTATACCATGACAGAAGCTCAAAGGTTATTATGGGTCAGAACATACCAAAAGGAACTTAAGGCAGATCTGTATCAGGGATTGATAGATGCGCTATTAACTGGAGAAAGAAGTACACCATCTACAGGGAAACGTATAATTCTTCCATCTTTCCTCCACTGTAGGGGCACGGTATATGGTTACCAACTATAAAGATGCAATGGCCATTTGTAGATGGGCAGGTTACCTGAGTATTTTCATTACATTTACATGTAATCTAGCTTGGCAAGAGGTCACACGATTGATAGAAAATGAATCATTATCTAGTGCTAACAAGCCAGAGATATTGTGTAGGGTTTTCCATATGAAGCTTAAAGCTCTTATGGATACAATCAAGAAGAAGAAGATTTTTGGTACTGTTATTATAGGTGCGTCAAATTTTTGTTCACTTCTTATTATAATGTAAAGATACTTTAATGATCTATTGCTTATTGCTTACTCATTTATTATTCATGCAGATGTTCATACGATTGAATTCCAAAAAAGAGGACTTCCACATGCACACATTTTGTTGTTCCTAAATCAACGTGATCAACCTAAATATTCGGAGGATGTGGATAAAGTAATCTCTGCAGAAATACCTAACTTAGATGAAGAACCACAGTTGTATGACTTAGTTAAGAGGTTCATGATACATGGCCTATACGGATGTTTAAACCCTAAGTCCTCTTGCATGAAGGATAATAAGTGCAGCAAGTATTTCGCCAAGAACTTTGTGGAATAGACTATTGTTGATGATGATGGATATCCTACATATAGGAGGAAAGATGATAGGAGGACAATTAAAGTCAAAGGCAATCCTCTGAACAATTGATTTATTGTGCCTTATAACCCCACATTGTCATCTATGTTTCAAACTCATATTAATGTTGAGAAGTGTAACCAGTCATCTGCAATCAAGTTATTATTCAAGTATATTAGTAAGGGAAATGATAGAGTTGTAGCATCTATTTATGAGAATGTTGGGGACAGATCTTTAGGCCGGCCGATTGATGAGATTCAACAGTATTACAACTTTAGGTATATCTCGGCTTGTGAGGCAGCTTGGCACATATTTGCCTTTGATATACACCACAAGTATCTAGCTGTTGAAAGGTTAAGCTTCCATTTACCTAACCAACAGTGTGTTGTTTATTCTAATGCTGATGATATTAAGGACCTACTTAATAAGCATTGTGTTTGTGAGTCAATGTTCCTTGCTTAGATGAAAATGAATCATGATAATGATTTGGCTAAAATTCTTACTTATTCTGAGTTTCCACAATTTTTTGTCTACCAAAGAAGCAAATGATGTTGGAAAATTAGAGAGAAGGGATTTGCCATAAGAAGGATTACTCATATACCTCCTTCATCTGGTGAACTTTACTATCTACGAATCCTCTTAACTAAGGTTAGAGGCCCTTCATCATTTGAAGAGATTAGAACAATGGATGGTTTTGTGCATTCCACTTTTAGAGCTGTGTGCTTTGCTCTTGGATTATTACATGATGATAGTGAATACATAAATACTATTAAGGAGGTGTCAGTTTGGGCATCTGGGAGATCATTACAAAAGATGTTTATTAGCATGCTTCTTTGCTCGTCACTAAGCCGTCTTGATTTTGTTTAGAACCAAACTTCAAGAATATTATCTGAAGATTTATTATACATACCACACAGAGATCCTTTATCATCAAGTAAGACCTATATTCATCTCAACAATACTTGCCATATTTTCATAAAATTTGTAGGCATCAATGATTTGTTTGTACTAATTGTTCTTCCTTTCAATTTACATATTCTTACTTATCACTTAGTGATATTTATGCAAGGGTACATATATCTATAAGTGAGAAGAAAGAAGCTGCCTTGAAAGAATTGAATCATTGTTGCAAGAGAATAGGAAGACCTTGAATGACTTTCCCTTGCTTCCAAAACCAGCATCAATTAGTCCACTTGATCTTAGTAATCATCTCATTTTGCAAGAGCTTGGTTATGAGCAAACATCCATGAAAGAAGAATCGAAACACTTTGATTAACTCATTAAATTCAGACCATAAACATATTTTTGACTCTATCATATCCTCTTTGAATTCAAATATTGGTTCATTCTTCTTTGTCTACGGTTATGGCGGAACAGGGAAGACATTTCTGTGGAATGCTTTGGCTTCTACTCTTCGAGCTAGAGGTGATATTGTTATTACTATTGCCTCTAGTGGCATCGCTGCCACATTATTACCATTTGAAAGGATAGCACATTCCAGGTATGCGATCCCTATACAAGTTAATGAAGACTCTGTGACGAGAGCCTTTTGTCGTTCGCTTTGGGGTTCTCACTCAAAAATAAATCCAAGCTATGCAGTATAATGCAAACTCGGGTCGTTTCACGCTTGGGAGCCTTAATTAATTACCTAAGTTAGACTAAATGCCATGCAAAGTAATGAAAAGGGGTTTTTGGGTTTTTAACATTTAATGAAATGTGCCAAAATTGAATGCAATGAAAACAAACCTAAGATACTATGTTTTTGGAGTTTTTAAGATAATAATGAAGTAATGGAAATGATTGATAGGAAATCTCTTGAAAATGGTTTTGATGGCAATCATAGTTCACTTAAATATTGGGAGTTTCAAAATCCATTAGGTTTTCTTAATAAGAACCTCATTAACTCAATGAGTCCAAAGCTTTCATTAATGAACTCATTAATGAAAACTTTGTTTAGCTTCCCTAATGTGTAAATTTGGAATGATCATGCAATTGGCTCAATGTAACACACAATCAACTCAGTACCGAAACATAACCATGCAAGATAGGAGAAATCATGAGAGTTACAATAAGCATATATGCAACTACATATATTTAAGCACAATGTTCAACATCAATCAATCCAAATTACAAACAGTTAATCACTAACCAATGATTACAGAATTAATCAAAGTGTCTAACTAAGACTTTACAACTCCTATACCTAGGAAATTATAAACACATAGCTAGAAACTAAAGATTAAAACTAAAACTCCCCTTTGAAGCTTGGAAACTCATGCTACTCCACCATCTTCAAGAGTTGGAAAAGCTTAGCTCATCATAGCCTTGGAATCAGCTCCAACCAGAGGTAAATCTTCAGCCATAACAGTAAGGAGATGAAGGAAATGAAAGTGGATGAAGAAGAAGTGCAGGAAAATGGAAGATGAAGGAGATAGAGATGGAGGATTAGGGTGGCTATCCCTTTATGTCTGACCTCACCCATACCCAAAATAGGGTTTCTAACCCAAAAATTACGTTTATGGGTCGGTTTCTGGAGGTGGGTAGGTCAGATTTTCTCGAAATGGTCGGGTTTGAAATTTGCTGATACAAGGGGTTCGCCGCGGTGAACCATGGCCGAGAGCTTTCCTTCTTGACGGACGATGTTCACCGCGGCGAAAGCAGAAGTGTGCCGCGGCGAACTGAGGCAAAGGCTCCTCTCTTGCTTCTTGTGCCTTGAGTTTCTTCAATTCTGGCCCCAATCTCTAGTGTCCTACAATAAAAAGCAACAAATTGAAGTATCAATTCTCCTAGAAATCAATTGAATACAATTAATAACCAATTATGACAATTTATCCTCAAAAAGACACTAACTTAAAGTAAGGACTCTTAATCTAAATTAAGCACAATTATCATTAAAAAGGGCCAGAAAATACCACAAAATCATGGATAATGTAATGAAAAGATAATAATAACTTAGGCTCAATCACTCTGTTTGCAATATAACACAAAATTCTGCCTTAGCTAATTTGATTGTACAGACAAAGTTAATTATATGGGATGAGGCTCCCATGGTGCAACGTTATTGCATCGAAGCATTTGATCGTACATTGAGAGATATTATGCATGCTAATTTCCCATTCGGTGGGAAGTCAATGTGATGGGTGGTGATTTCCATTAAATACTCCCCATCATACCTAAAGGTTCCAGAGCTGACATAGTAAATGCATGCGTAACTTCTTCATATTTGTCGGACTATTACACCATTTTTACGTTGACGAAGAACATGTGCTTATCATTTGTTTCTTCCATCAAAGAACAAAAGGACTTGTAACATTTCTCAAAGTGGCTTCTAGATGTGGGAGATGGTAATCTTGGTATGCCTCACAATAGCATAGCTGAAATTAAAATCCCTGATGATCTTTTAATCACTAATTATGATGATCCTGTTGGTGTTATTATATCTACCATTTACCCTAATCTCTTATAGAATTTATCAATTTTTGATTATTTCAATGAAAGGGCTATCCTTGCACCCACAATTGAGGTTGTAAACTAGGTAAATGACTATATGTGTTCTCTTCTACCTGGCAAACATGTTGAGTACCTGAGTTGTGATTTTGTTTGCAAATCATTCAACAATAATGATTGCTTTGAAGATTTGTACACGACTAACTTCTTAAACACTATTAATAGTTCTGGTATGCCATTGTATAAATTGTCCTTGAAAGTAGGAACAATGGTGATGCTACTTAGAAACACTAACCAAGCATCAGGGTGTGTAATGGAACTAGGTTGCGTGTAACAAAACTTGGCAAGTCTGTCATTGAAGCAATAATATTGAATGGTTCTAAACCTAACCAGAAAGTGTTGATCCATCGTAT